CCATACCCAACTTGTTATTATGGAATATATCTCGTTTTGAATGGCCACTTCGAGTAAAAAGCATTTCCTTTAGCAAATGACTCGGTGGCAGGTAAGGTGCAAGCTCTGACGGAGCTCAAGAATTTGCAACCTAAACAGGATGTAGCGGCTTTTTGCGCAGTCTTGGAGAATCTGGGAAGACAGGCGAACCCAGACTGTAGTATTGCCGATAGGTCCATGGAGTAAGCACAGATCCTACTGGACAGTCTGAGTAAGTGACCTAAGTATTTTCAGTTAGTGAGTATGCTCCACGAGGTAAAATCTAGGAGAGCGTGTGAGAGAAAAGCACTTGACCATTAGTATAGAGCAGTCAACGCTCATGTTAGGTGTGCGAAAGGACATGAAATTACCAGCACGGAAGCATCGTGTCGCGCACTATCTCCACTCCGATAGCAACATAGTTGAGGAGAAAATTACCAGAATGCTTCCACCTTAAAGGAGTGAATCATTGCCTAAAGTTGGCTATATCAGTAGAGGAGAGGGGACGAGAAAATGTTTTATGTGCACGAAATTTGGACACATAGCAGAGAATGTCTTATGCGAGCCACAAGAGTAGAGCAAAGAAAGACCAAGCCAATCCAGCCGGATAGCAGCAAACGAGGATTAACAACAATGTTACAGCATGTTTGTTGGGTATGTCAGTGAGGGATAACAAGGATATCAGACTGACTCTATTGGAAATCGCATCGTCACACCAGTTATGATTTTAGGAGAAAAAGTCTCAGCGCTAGTGGACACCGGATAAATGATCAGCATAGTCCAAAGTGAGGTTCTAGGCATAGCAATTGATCGAGGGGTAGATGTGGATGCCTTGAAACTTGTGGAAAGTGAGAAGTTGAGTCCAGTGTTTTATGCTTCCAATATAAGAATGGACTTCCTTTGAGCAGTATATGTCGAAGTAGAAGTCCTTGGAAGTAGCAAGAGCATTGTGGCTTTCCATATAGCGGTGAGCAAAGAGAATGAGCTTCGTGGAACTAATGCTCTAGAAAGTCTGGGATTAGAAGTGAGGATACCAGAGAAGGATGATGGAGAAATGTGCAAAAGTGAAGACGAAGGAAAGTAGCCGTTGAACGGAGGGCGTGTAAAACACCTTATGAGTCGGCTTTCGTTTATGTTCGCTGTGGCGGCGATGTGGAAGAAGAGGTAGAATGCGTGATATGGAAAGGAAAAGAAATAGTACCTTGCATCTTCAAAGTGGTTCACCAGCAGACCCGTATACTGGCTTATAACAAGGCTGAT